CATTTATTTCTGATACTACCATGCATACTTGTGACTGTATGTCACTGTCCAAGCTATTATCTGACTCATCTTTCAAAAAAGCTCTAGATAAGGCACCTGCAATTATTAATTGTTTGCCTGGTTGGTGTTTTACTTGAAAATCATATTTTTGTAATTGTAACAGCATACGCTGTAGTCGAGCTTGGCATTTATCTAGTGGTTTTTTGAAGATAGAAATTAACGGTAGGTGGTCAGTTTCCACTATCACTTTTTTGCCATATACATATTCATGAAATTTAGTTAGTCCAAAAATAATTGCAAAAAGTTCCTTTTCTATTTGGTCTTCATCTTGTAATATTGAGGCACTAAAGGAACTAAAATGAATAAAAAGAATTGAGTAACAAATTTAGAATCTCAAAACTTGAAAGGAAATTAAATAAACAAAAATACTGTTAAAGTTAAATGGATTTATTGAAAAATGAAGATAATAATGATGTAGATAATGTACTAAAAACTAATTCGGAAGATCCTAGGTAGCAGTCATCACACCACTCAGCAATCTACATTATTGATTAGATAAAAAATAATAAAATCGCTGGGAATAGTATTTACATGGGTATTTACTCAGGTTACGCTACGCCAAACGATTTTTTTATCTGATCAATACCGTAGATTGCTGAGGAAAACGGTGTGATGACTGCTACATAGGACTTATTTATTTTCATCACCGTCATAAGATACTAATCATAATCTGCTCCATTTAGCCAATGCTACGAAACTACTTACGGATGTACAACATACGCTTTCCTGCCATTGAATGGGCAGTTCATTTTAAGTTTAATTTAAACTCTTTCTGTGTAAGTTTCTCTCAATTTGACGAATTTTTGTTAATAGTTCAGTCGCGAATGGTGTAGTCTAACAATTAATTCAGAACCTACACCTTCAACAGGAGGGCCTGGCAGGGAGTCTATTGTATGGTTCTGTTCGAAAATTCAACCATTTTTTTGTAATTTGCTCTCAATTTGACGAATTTTTGGTAATTCTGGGGACACAATTGTTCAGGCGTTCAGAACCGACACCTTTTGCAGAAAGACTCGCTTTAAGATGAACATGCTGAACCATATTCATTAAATATGTGTTTTTCATGGTGAACAAAACGGAATTACATTTGAGTTTTCATTTTCTATCATTGAAAGAAAATGACAGTTGATATTCGGATGAGCACGAACGAGCCTTAATGCTGCAACATCAACAAAAAAATGGTAAGATGTTCTGTCACAGAACACCCTTGTAGTTAGGGTGTTCTGTGGTTTCATGCTGTGTGTCCATCTGTCAGTATGTATTTTTTGTTGAAGGTAAATAATAACTAATAACCTCAAAGTTCTGAAATGCTCAAAACATTGCTATTTTCAAAAGAAATCTCTAATATTTTAAATTTTTGCAATGGATGAACCTGAAGAGTAGGTAACATTGTTGTTTCGTATATGAAATTGCTGACCTCAGTTGAAATTTCAGCTTAATGCAATACTTTTATGAGAATGAAGAATCCTATGAAGAAACTTTAAGTGATGTGTGGAATCACTGCATTGGGCCATCCACTGCAAGTATTTCTCACTTGCTATTCAAAATAATTCTAGTCAATTTAGTATTCGGCACAACTGTGTCTGCAAGTAAGTTTTTTAATTTTATGATAAATTGCTGTTGTATTATATTTGAGTAAATGGCTATTTCATTGTTTGTTTCCTATGGAAACATTCTGCTTAATTTATTTCAGCGGATCTCATGTCGTGAATAATTATTTCAGTAAAACTTCCGGAGGCGATATTTCACATCTTATCAGGTGTAAGTGGAGTATATTTAATCAGTATTCTTGAATCTACTGAAGGCAAGATCATCTTCTTGGGCTTCTTTTCTCAGACATATCTACTCTTACGCATAGGGCTACACATCAAACGAAAATATGACCCTGATGATAAAGTACATTACTTAAGAAATTCTAACTTAATGAAATATAACCTGCTGGCTTTTTTAGTATTATGGTAAGTTCAAAAATATACCAACATTTTTTCAAATAGGAAGAAGGTCGTGTGATAGGAAGCTTTATAGGTTTTTCAGTTCTATATTCAGCACTGGTTCATTTTTGGAAATTGGAACGGTCATTTCTAAGTATAAGTATATTACCAAAAAAATTCTGAATTCACTCTAGTTTATTCCAATAAATGTTCAAAATATTCACCATATTCACATATTCATTTTTTACTAAATGAAATGTTCAAGGGATAATTCTACTGCAAGCACCTCTCATTCTTTCCACGGGTTTTGGAATAGACTGCAGTTATGTATGATTAAATTTCCTGCATCCCCTAAAAACAAAAAAAAGTTCTGTGTCCTCTACTGGTTTGGATAATTGACAAACATGAGTTTTCAACTAATGTTACATTTCAGCAAGATGAGGTTCGAGTATGGCTATATGACAATTATCCAAATCATTAGATAGAGAGATGTGGTTCTTCAAAATGGCTCGCTATAGATGACCTGTTATGACACCCTCAGAGTTTTTGTGGGGATTCAGAGGCAATATGACAGAGATTTAGTGGACCATTCTATGGAAAAAAGTCTGACATTCTACTGGTTTGGATAATTGACAGACATAAATTATTTTTAACTGATGTTACATTTCAGCAAGATAACAATCTGGTTCAAGAGTGGCTAGATGACAAGTTTTCAAATGGGTTGATACATAGATGTGGTCCCTAAAAATGATCTGCAAGGTCACCTGATATGATCTCAACATTTTTCATGGGGATTCTTGAAATCTAAAGTATTCATTACATAATCGTAGTCGATTCCAGAACTTATGGATTGAATAAGAGGTGCTTGTGACAGAATTACCCGAGAAACATTCTATAATGTAAAAACTGAATTCCTAAATATACTTGATTTTGTCAGGAAGTGAATAATTAATAGGATAAGCTGAAGTGAGTTTTGAATATTTTTTATGGAAATTATATTTATCATCTGTCTGCAGATTCTTCACAAAAATATAGAATTTTCAATTATTAAGGAATGGCTAAACCTTCCAATTAAACGAGGTATCATAATACACCTCTTGCATTAAACAATGATGATGATGAGTCACGTCTGCAATGCATATATTACTGGAAGTATTTTGTCAGTACTGTGAATTATATCCTGGTCTTCTCTACAATCTATATACAAGTTATATTTGTTCATTTATTTTATTTGATAAAAACCAGTTTTCACACTTTTTAGCGAATATATTTTGTTGGAAACAAATACGTGGATGGAGATTCGAGGCATTGTGATGATTTTCAGTATGAAATTGATTTCCCTAGTCGAAGATGTAGAAAAAGGTGTGATAGTATTTCCTTCAATTGTTGGGTATTTTGGATATTTTTTTTGTGGGGCAAATATAATGTTTGGACCTTGGATCTCATTTCAAGATTACTTAGTTTTATACCATCAAAACACCAAAAAGGTATGTTATATTACATGAAAATGAATGAGTTCATAAAAATCTGTTAATTTTTTTAAACTTTATTTTCAACATTTTGCTTTTCAGACTATTTGGTGGTTAGTAGGGGTTGTGAGAGCTTTGGTTACCTCATTGTTGTTTTTGACAATATCAAACTGCTGGATAAGTTATTTCATTAAAGATGGATACAATAGGTGGATACTTTCTTATAAGGAAGCACTGTCCTTCAGAACAAGTCATTACTTCATATGCTACTTGTCCGAGGCTTCTATGTTAGCAGCAGGTTTCAAAAATTCTAAAATTTGGAACAATCCAGATACATGGAGGTTTGTTGTCACTGATCCATCAAAAATTGAGTTCCCCCCAGCTCTAGCCATAGTAGTGACGAACTGGAACAGGCCTATGCACGACTTTTTGAAAAAATGTAAATCTCAAAACTTTGTTCAAAAATTCTATTAATAAAAATTTTCAATTTATGGAAACGTTTTCAAGTAACTTCATTGTGAGATTTTACTGAGCGTAGTATTACAACACCGCAACAAAGTTCAATTAAACAAAAAGCTAATGATAATGATGGTATATTTATGAGAACTGTTATTGAGATAAACAAAAAAATGCATTGTTAAAACTCTAGATTTTTTCTATTCAGTAACCTACAATATTCTGTGAGATGATCCTACAAGTCTGTACCAAAAAGAGGTAAAGGAAACGTTAAAGTCAACATAGCTGGTTATGAATGGCAGTGATAAATACAAGGTGGTGACCATGAGCCCTCAACCACCTAAACTTTTCTCTTATTGAATTACATAGAACCAATTTTCCTATTAGAAGTGTGATTTTGTAACAGCTTAATTCGTAAAATCTCGGAAATGCTCATAGAGTTATACTAATTGGAAACCACTATTCAGTATGAATAGTACCTACTTATTAATTAGTGAATAACACTAAAAATATAAACTCTTCTTATTAACTCTAAATTGATATCGTTTGATTTCCCAGTATTCTGCCAATTGGAACAATTGAACTGGTTGAGAGTCTTGTAGAAAGAAACCATATTGATCCTGTATTAAAACAGAAAATTCTCGATCTTACTATTTGTCTAATTCTAAATTATTTTTAGTTTAATGTATAGTTTTATTGAAACAGGGAAGGGCTAGTGATGAAAAGTCATTTTACATGTCAAAATATAGATTAACATTTTTATTTATATTGGTGTAGCTTAGCAATGCTTTAAGACAGTTTAGACTATTTAGAAAATGCAGTAATATCATCGAGTTTCTTTAAATTGAGTATCTGATAACAAATTTCTGTGTGAATGCAGAAATGTGAATTTGTGGTGGATGATGGTGAAATATTTTGAAAAAAATATTAAGATTTGCAATAATGAATATAATGTAATAATAATAATCTTTATTTGAAATAGGAAAATCCTAATTTACATACATTTCTAATATTTCTGTTACATATTGGAATTATTTAAAAAATATATGACAAACATAAGATGAATACATTCTAAAGTTGATCAATAAGATAGGCATGGTAATATTTCAAGAAAGAAAATTGTACCTATCTATAGGTAACAAACACATAATACATATCATACTTGTACATTGAAAACAAATTTCTTCAGTTCGTTTTTGAACATGTTCAGAGATGGGCTAGTTTTAATTGCATTACCGTAGTCCCCGCATCGTCCTCTTTTGAGATGGACCATTGCACATTTGTCTATCCCGAATTTCATACCGATAGCATGCGTGTACTCTTCCACCACTCTCAAGGACTGATGATGATCCGTCTCTCCAGAGGCATAAATTTTAAGATCGTCCTTGTGCCTCCGGTTTCCGGGGGTGCCACAGTTATACCCTCGAGTGTTTCTGAGCGCAACGGATAATGGCAATAGTGAGATGCAGAAGAGTATTGTTGCCTCATTGATGATGGTCGACATTTCTGAGCAATTATAGGGTTTTACAAACATACTAGTATTATTTGGAAATTGCTGTAGGGGATGTACTGAATTTACAGTGAAATTTGAGTTGATTAATTCACTGACTGAGTCAATGAAAAAATTTGTTAAAAGACGTGCAACTAGTTTCAAATTAGTAATTTGTGTATTATTTGATGGACAAAGAAAGAAGTCGGGGAGTCTTCTTGCGTTGGGCCCTTCGAAATAATTTTTTAATATTTGAAAAGCAGTACGTTGTCTGTTGCTCGAGCATATTAGCACTTTGTTGTTGTGGGTCTTTTTTGCCATATTGATTTGTTTGGAATATTTTTTGTTGTGTTTGTAGAAGAGCCATATGTCTTTATTGTATGTTGATATGTTGATTTACATAATTTGTAAAGATCCCCAAGATTGTTACTATTTACGATTATTTTTTTGGCCTTTCAAAGTTTCGTGAAAAAAAAAACAAACTTATCAATTAGTGATTCATTTCGTGAATTTACGAGTATAGTAGACCAGTTAGTTTGGCTCGAACGCATGATTGAAAGTTTTGGAAATTTGAGGATTTGATAAATAATCGTTTATAGAAGGATTCGATATTTTTCTTTTGAATTCTTATGGTTACAGATTGCACATAATGGTCTGAGAGGTCGGTAGAGATAACTTCGTTTTTCATTAAATGTTTTCCAATATTACAGAATATATTGTCAATTGCTGTTTTACTATTTTAATGGATACGCATATATTCAAATATGGTTTTCTGTAGCCCATTGGTTTCTCTGGATGTCTGCAAGCATAGGTTTAGCATATTTTTCAAAAATATACTATTTACTTCTATATACATATACTATTTAAAACATAATTAAATTTTTTTTCTGCGGAATGTGTTGCACGATATTATCGAAGTTAACAATCGCCAACAGCATAGGCGCAGACCAGGTCCATATAACACAAATCGTGCGATGCGGATGTAGCCATCAGTCACTTTTTTTTGATAATTCTTCATACGTTTGGGTTATTTTTGGATCAGTCTAGGGGGATAATTACCATAATTACCACCTTAGATCTGTCCCTGGCGCTAGCAGTTCTGAATAATAGTTTGAACAGTTATTCTAGAATAATAATGATCACGGGTCAATTGTGATCCTGTTTAATTTGAAACTATTGCAAAATAATGGATAGTAGCAGAGAGTGAAAAGATAAAAGCAATTTAAGTTAAAAAAAAGTTGTGTTGTTCTTGTTCGTCTTGTTCTCCTCCTGCCAAACGGTCAGCTTCCGTTAAAACCGATGAGGCGGTGAGAGGGAAGAGGGGGGTGAAAGCACTCGAATGACCTATAAATCGTCAGATCTCGGAGGAATAAGTCCAGTTGTCACCCGAAGACGATTGTGGATACTAACAATCGAAACGTCGTTAAGTAACTTGGTTTGGAATCTTTCAATTTTTATTTCTTGTTAATAATTTTTCAATTTTCATCTCTTGTTAATCTTTCATTTTTTTTGTATTTTACTTATATATCACACAAGTCTTGGTATAATATTGGACATACACTTAGGATGGGATTCACACGTTGAATTTATAGTGAAAAATACTACGTTAAGATACCGTATAAATTCAGGCAACTGTGAGATGTACTCGATATGAAATCAACTATAATCAATTGCATGTATGTTATGTTTAACTGAAAATTACATATATTGCGTAAACAAAGACAGATATTAAAAATTATATTAAATCCAGGTACTGATACTCCCAAAAATTTCACGTGAATATGTGGTGTATATTTTCAATGTAATTTTAAATTGGAGATTGAACGACTTAGGTACCTCTAAAGAAGTTCAATCATTATTACTAACAGCTTCAAACAAATTAAATCACATATTGTAGTGTTTCTAACACGCAAATGCGGTAAGTTTAAAGCAAATTTCTTATCGACGACCCAACAAACACTACTTGACCGATATTCGTCAATACTTTCTGGAGCTGTTGACAGTTACTGATCTAACTTGCATGTATCTGCTATATAGTGTAATTGAGAATTGAATTTCTTTACAGGTAAATCGTTTAATCTCTAATAATATCACGCAGCAACATCCGGATTAGAACATATTGTAGATTTCTACTTCTCCATCTTCAAATAAAAAATGTGTCAAACTTCCGAAAGAATGAATACAGTAATCGAGTTCAAAATACATTTTTCACAAAGATGTATAGATCATGCATACAAGTTACTTTCATATAGAAATTGGAAAAACCCTTTTAAAACAACTACTTTCACATAAACGTTGAATTACACAAAAGAAAAAGTTCTGTCGGAACAAAAAAGTTCATTCCTACTCAGTTTGTACTTCAAATATTCGTTATGGAACGCTATATAATATAAAATATGAAATAGTATCGATATAAAATTTCAGTTTCATGGATTACTATCATTCTCATCCTCAACCAATATCTCCTAAAAAATACCCTTTTTAATATAAATATTGTAAACGTTTGAAGTGAAGATGCGAACTGTAACTGACGAGAAAGAATATTTGGGGATCATCATTAAAATATTGACATACACAAGTTTTATTTATAAAATTACTTCGAAGTGTAGCCATATTTTTCTCATTTGCACTAATAAATTAAATACGAACACTAACTTCGGATACCAATCATTCCACAATTTTTCAAGTAGTACAACTGATAAATATTAAATACAAAAATTCAGAAAGTGTTCCTCTTGGTTTGGTAGGGGTTCGTTATGAATTTTAAGAAAAACTTTTGACATTCCTGAAAACTTTTTTGCTTTTTTCTTATTTAGTGTATACATCTACCTCAGGCCCGTTCTACACTGAAAGGTGTAACACTGCTAAACTGATCTGTAGGTGATCATTTGCTTCTTTTTCTGTTGAATTGAAATATAATCAAAAATAGTGTCAGGACACTTTATATCAATATAATCCAGGTACTTTGAACATGTTACGAGAAGAGGGGGAGGAATCCTCCCCCAAAAAACAACATTTAGAAGAGAAATTGGATATGAGATTCGGGAATAGTAGCAATCAGGATAAAGAGCAGGAAAGTTCAGGTAGAGATAGTTTAGATAGTGAAGTATGGAACATATTTAGTAACAAAGACAATGAAAATGATATAGGATCAACTAGGGAATTTACTTCATCTCTACAAAACGTTATTAATATGGATAGGGAAGTAAACGAGGAAGACGTTAGAGATAACGAGCAGATAATAACATATAGTGAGGGAATGCCAGGTCCATTTCTGGTAATGGAATCCAGATTTTTTCTAATTAATTACATTCGGGGATCCAGTGAATCCTAAAAATATGCTAATAATTCAGTGGAACATCAGAAGTATCAATGCAAACAGGCATTATTTATTAAATATAATCCAGGAGCATGTGCCACAAGTGATTCTTTTGAGTGAAACATGGCTAAAACCTGAAAACATATTCAGTATAAAAAATTATAACATAATTCGATCAGACCGTGAGGATGGATACGGAGGTATAGCCAC